TGCCCCGAGCCCTCCGCCTGGTGAGCCCTGCCTCCCTTTGCAGACTGCAAATTCTCACCTGTCCTCAGACCCCTGCTCAGCCGCCACCGCCTCTGGAAAGCCTTCTCAGATCTACCGCAGCAGGCATGGCTGCCCGGGCATGGGGAGCGGGCCAGGCTCCTTGCTGCGAGGTCACCCGTCTATTCCCCCTCAGACCGTGGCCCCGAGACGGGGTGTAGCAGCTGTCAGGGCTCAGTGTGGCGTTTCTGTGAAAACTCATTACAAGTGAGGATCCAGGGCACGCACCGCCTGTGAGGCAGCTCTGGGCTCTCGAGCCCCAGGAGAAATTGGTTCAGGGCAACATCGTCCACTGGGAAGACATTTCTTAAAAGCCCCGAGGGACACCGCACCCGGAGCCTCTGGGAATTCTAGAATAGCCCGGCCCGGGCTTGTGGCACCGCATCTAGAGGCTGCCCCAGAGCCTCTGGTGACCAGATCTGCTGGCCGGGTCCACACCACGGCAGAACGAGGGGTTCCGAGCCAGGCAGTCAGCGATTCTGAGCCCAAGCGTGAGGACACGGTGCCCCGCGTGAGCTCAAGCCTCCGTGCCCGGCAGAATCACCCCGAGGACCCCGACAGCACCGGCAGGTGCGATTGGCGAGTGGCTCTGAGGGACTGTGGAGAAAGGGAGAGGAGCCAGGGGAGTGTGGGTGGCCAAGGTCACCTGGATTTCAAAGCGATTGATTCCAACTAGGGAGCTTGGTGCCGATTCCCAGACAAGTCCTGGTGCAAATGAACAAACACGTGTTTCGGGGGGCCCTTAGCAAAGGAAGGGGCAAGCTCTGATAGGTTCGCCTGCACCGTTCCTTGTCAACCCTCCTTCATTGCTGGCTGAGGAGGGTCCCTGGCCTGGAACTTAAGGGAACACCTAGGGCTTGGGGCATCTGGGGAGGGGGGACAGGAGCAGAATGGCAAACAGGGAAGGGAGCGCGCAGCTCTCAGGACAGCTCCGGGCGTGGGTTAATGAATGGAGCCCGTGCAGGAAGCCTCGACGCCAGGCCTCCAGGCTCTGCCTGCTGTGAATGGCACAGCACGAAGCAGGGGAAAGAAGGGACCCTCCTCCGTTGATTCTTAAACCTTTAAAAGCTGGGGGATCTTTTATCCCAGGAAATTTTCTTTAGGAGCCCAATCTGCAAAACAGATGAAAGTGGACCGGCTCTGGCGGAAGCAGGTTGGGGGCCCAGAGCCTCAGTTTCCTGCTCAACTCCCCTTGCCCCTCAGCGGCCCCTGGGGCTCCACCGAACACAACTAAAAGCCATCACCTGTTCACCAGCCAAACTCCAGGCCACCCTTCTCTACAGGCCCCGGCACCCCACCCTGTGAAGAAACAGCAACCTAGGTGGAGAGGTGGGTGGACGGGGCTGTTT